GCGGTGCCGTAGGCGGTGCCATCTTGTTTTTCGCTGCCCAGAAGCATTTTTTTGCACTGTGCATGTGCATGCAGCATGCATCAAGTGCGCACATGGCACGCACATGACCAAACCAGCAGTAATGACTGCCGGAACCCACCCCTGTGGTAATCCCCAAAGTTATGATAAATCTTGAAGTCATGATGTTAATATAGATTGGAAAAATAGATTGCCTAGAACAATTCCATGTTCATTGTACCATATTGTGGTTCTTAAAGCATGTTTCCGACCTTTTATTTGTAAAACTTGGCTAATTGTGGCTTCTTCAAATAACCATAATTAACAAATTGTCTAACTATGTTTGGCTCCGGTCATAGAGTAGTCAAGGTATTGAATTGCAGGTTCTTAAAGTATTTGCTTGACATTCAATTATCATCTGGTCTAAGTTAAAATAATGGAGGAAAAGGCTAGGCTCTAGCTTAGTGTTGCAACACATCCTCTTTCTGCAGAAGTCCCCAAATTCAATCACAACATCTGCCTTCCTGAAACTAGGTGCAAAGTCTCTACCATTAAGTGTAGGGCAAAATCAAGCAATTGTTTGATTTTGTGACACTTTTCTTTTATAGTAATTTCATGAAAATTACAATTAAAAAGGTGAAAAAGAATAAAAAGAAAAAAGTGCAGGAAAGAAAAGAAAGAAAGAAAAGTGAAGAAATAAAAAAATAAAAATATAGTAAAGAAAAAGAAAACATATATAAAAAATGGCTACCCCCTTCATCACAAGTATAAATAACTTTGTTGACTTATCACTTTCTCTTAAGTACAACATATAATCTTCTCTTCCAATATCCCATCTCTTATCTATAAACAAATTATTAAAGCTTTGTCAGTTGTCCTCAGCAAAACTCCATTAATGATTACGATGGATAACAACATATCTATTTAACCTTAATCAAGTAAACCAATATTACATATCTTCCTTTTACTTCTAACAATCTTGACTTTTAATCCAGTCAAATAATGGCCTAGAATTGTGATGGCAAACCTATGACACGTGAAGTAGCACACGAAGTCATGTTTCCTGGCATGCACAGCTTTGCCTGTTTGTTTTCTGGGTTTCTGGCATGCATGTACCCGCAATGATCAACTGTCATTCACATG